TTTTGTACAGGGACCTTCCGATTTCCGGATCCACAGGGGAACCGACTAATCCGGAATCGAGCCGGGTAGGACCACAAGGGCGGCAAAGCTCTCCCTCAAGAGTTTTAACACTGCTGCATTCCCAGGGCTCAATTTGTTGGCATATGTTTGGAATTTCCTGTTTCCCCTTTGGTTTCCTTCTCACAATAACCACAATTTAATTTAATTAGAGTGGCAATTTTGATGATTGAGGGCTACATGCATGTGAACATCTAAAGGAATTTTGGAATTATATCAATATTTGTAAAATATTCAGATATGACATCCAATATTCTAGTTTTTGGGTTCACGAGTCCCTAAAGTCTATGGGAGATGCTATCTAATAACATTCTATATATTCCAATAATGTGTATATATGTATGTATATAATGTATAGTAAGTCGCAAAGGCAGACTAACTGTTAAACGAGTCGATTCGTTTAATTTTGTAAACATAAAATACACATTTTTATATTATTAAAGATTATATTTTACTCTATATTTATTTTTGTCTAATGATCATTTTTTTTTTATGTAATTTTCTCCAAAGTCATTTTTTTTTTCCCCTCTGAATAAAAAAGGTTTTAGAAAGATGTTATCTCACGCCTGAGCACTACAATACAAGAAAATATGGTGAATCCGTGATTTATAGCCTGGCCTCTCGTGAATACTTTTTTGTTCTTCTACTATTTTTTTAGTTATTATTTTCCGTTTTGGCTCTTTCTCTGTTGCTTGATAAATGACTAGACGTATGCATGTATGTGTACAGAATGTAAGAATTAATTAATGCAAGAATTTTGAAAACTTTATTTTTAACGATATGAATAGTGCTATGATTAATTGTGTTTGATGTTCTTTTTTATTATGATTAATTTTAATAAAACAACGTCATTAAAATGCGTAATAACATTTGTATAAATGATAACATTATGTGATGTTAAAAATTGCATCATATATATGATTCAATAATGCTAAGGAGCTAACAACCAATGGGACAACTCTATGTGGGACTGTCGTGGGAGCTGTCCCATTGGTTGTTGGCTCCGTAACGGTGCCAACAGTTGGCTCCTTAGCATTACTGATATACGATTTGTCACGGCTCTTACACCAAGATACATTTTTGTTTGAATCAACCATTTATATGTACTTGAAACTTCAAGTGGTTTTTAATATACTACTAATATTCGACCATGTGCATTTGCACATGTAAATAAAATTTGTGAGTTATTTGTATGCATATAATGATTAATTATTTTTTCACTTTTTTGCAGGCCAAATTTACAATTAAAGGAATTGAAATATTTTTATTAAACTGCGTTTATCTGATTGGATGTAATGTATATTTTGTAAGTCTTTTTTTGTGAATTATTTATTATTTATTTAGGAATTTTAAATACATTTTTTATTTAAAAATAATAATTTAAATGTAACTACAATAATAACATCTACTGACATTATACGGTCAATTCATTATATGGTCAACTGTCATTAGTCAAAAGTTTAAAATGATTTTTTGTAATTTTGAAGTGATGAGTGTTGAATATTTAATAATTAAATAAAAAATTAAATACAACAAAAGTAACGGTTTTTGGAGGGAAAATATTAAATTGCCACATAGGTAAAATTAAATATGTTTTATTAAATGCTATTAGCTAGTAATTATATATATATATAGATTTCTGATTTTCATAAGGCTAGAAAAACGCTCATGAACTGGGAGCCCATTTGTAACTCTAGGTCGTCCAATAGAGGTTTAGCTTTAAATTCGGCCCAATATTCAAAGCTCAAAGCCCAATAGATAATACATTATTTTGTTCTTCTACAGCACATTACAGGTTGACCATTGTGCAATACGCATGAGGAATTGACTCCAGCTTGTTCTATTTTCTTCTATAGTGTTCTAAATTAGCAAATAGCAAATACTTGATTGAATTAATTGGCTAATTGAATTAGTGTGGTAAATGATTAACGGCTAGTTAAGTAACAATAATAACATACTTTAACTATTTATTCCAAACATTTTCAATATCAATATTTTGAATAAAAAAACTATTAAAACATATATTACAAAACAATTGAATTAGAAGTTATTACCAATCAAATATCTAAAACCCCAAAAATAGTAGGGGTGGGACCGGTTCGTTTTTTGTATTTGAATAACCGCAACCATGTTTTTCTAAATTTTTTCGGTTCGGTTCTTGTCTCAATTTTTTGAGAAACCGAGTAGAAACCAAACCGTCGGTATACGGTTCGGTTATTCCGGTTTTCCGGTTCTTGGACTGAAGAGAAAAATTAGACCAAATGGAATAAAGCCGAATTATTTCACCGGCTACTCGTGACAAGAAGATATGACGATTATGCGATATGGGTGTGTAGAGCTTAGAGTACGATGAAGGCTATGTGGGGCTTGCAGCTGCTGGCGATAGATTGGTGAGAAAATGAAAAGGGTGACTGTTGATGGTGGCGGTGGTGTAGGGATTTTGTGGAGAATGAAACGAAAATTGAAAGGGAATTCTTGTGATGAGAGATTAGGGAGATTTGCAGGTCAGATTTATCACCTTATGTCTGTTATTATATAAAATATTATATAAAAGTTATAATTGGAATATAATATAAACATGATATATATGTGGGGATCGGTCATTCGGTTCTTTCACTTTTTCTGGATTAATAACCGAGAACCAGAACCGGTTTTAACTTAAAAATAACCGAACCCGAAAAGTTGTTATATTATAATAAAAAACCAAATCGAATCAGTTTTCCGGTTCTCGGTTTCAAAATCCCAGCCCTAAAAAATAGTGATTGCCAAATTGAGGTGAATAGTGTTTTGAGGTTATATAGCATTGAAATAACAACATTAGCATAGTTATATGTAATATTGTAGTAGCGGACGACCAACATAGTTCCCAACATAAATTACGGTAAATAATCCATCTCAAACCTATCGTCATCTAACCAAGTAATTCATTCCGTTATATACTAGTTATTCGACTTGACTCGACAAAAATATAAAATGCACAATATCATCTCGATATTGACACGAATTATATTAGCTCCACTCATAAATAAAATATAAAAATATATTCTAGTAAGATATTTTGTGACTTTCACTCGAGTTTTAGTTAAATTTCACTCATACAAGTTCAAGTTCAAAGTGCTCGAGCTGAACTTTGGCTCGGGTGCTCGATAAGTTTCCGGCCCCCGCACATACACACCAAGAAAAAAAAACACTGGGTTAAATATTTTCGGATATCTATCACGAGGGGGAAATTTGAGCTTGTGATGCATTAATTAGTCAAGAAAACATTCGGTTTGGTTATGAAGTGTAAAGTACTAACCAAAATTAACCAATAAAATGTCGTGCAACTGACACGTGGCATGGATAGTGGTATTATAACGAGCTTCGGAGCAACTGGCAACTTCCACGTGTCTTGTAGTTGCTTACTTTATCCACTATTTTTTTTTTTTTTTTTGGGGTACAATGACTTTGGAGTAAAATGCATTTTTCGTCCTGTATGTTTACCCTTCCAAACATTTTAGTCCTCTTCGAATTGCGTTTTTTATTTTCATCCCATATGTTTGAAAAAATGTTACAAAAAAGTATTTTTCATACATAAAGGGATGAAATTGGAACACCTTATTGCAAAACATAAAGGACCTTTTTATTGCGAAAAGGACCTTTCTGTAACTTTTTTTCAAATATACGGGACGAAAATCAAAAAGCAATTCGAAGAGGACTAAAATATTTAGAGGGGTAAACATACAGGACGAAAAATGTATTTTACTCATGACTTTTTTTTTTTGGTACAGGGACCTTCCGCTTTCCGGATCCACAGGGGAACCGACTAATCCGGAATCGAGTCGGGTAGGACCACAAGGGCGACAAAGCTCTCCATGAAGAGTTTAACCACTATTATATTACTTAATTCACTCATTCGTTAAGTTTACGGACCTCACGGAGGATTATGCAATTATGGGAGGAAAAAAAAAATCAAATTTATTTTTCTTCTTTAATTTTCAAGAACCAATAAATAAAAACGTTACTTTCACATAACTTACCTAACTTACGATTGACCGCATGGAAGCTTGTTTATTCCCTTTAAGGGTTGTGTGCTTAAGACATCAATGATGCTTTCTTTTTTCTAGTTTTATATATACTTTTTTTTTTTTTGTAAAATAATGCTATTTGAATACAATATTTTGACATAAAAATTGACATAATTAATGTGTAAGAATGAATAATGTTAGATTTATATCCAATCGCCCCTTCACGAGCAGATTAGATCAGTGTAAATGAAAAGTGCAATGAAATATATATGAGCAAATTTCAAAGTGTGCATAAGGGCGTATGATTCGATATATATGAGCTACGATACGACTCAATCGGTTAAGTCGTCTCGTAATCAATAATCTAATTCAAAATTCAACTTAACCTAATTTTCTACTTTTAATTAATATAAATAAATAATAATATTAATTAGTAACTTAACACATCACATTAACTTAATTTAACTCACTATTCACTGTTAAATCATTTTAATTACATATCATTTCCTATATTTTCTCTTTTACTTGTACATTATAACAGCTTCAACTACTATATTTTAAATATTATTTTAATTTTTTTTTTTCAAATAATAACTCAATTTAAAAGGACGAGTCTGAAAACTGTGCTGCATACTTCCAAGTCAACGATTAGTTAATTATACTACCATTTAAGTGTTGAACCCATTTGACTATGTTGTCCTTTCTAGAGACGATCATCATCAATTTATAATAAATTAATTATAATTATACTATAATGCAGAATGTCTTGTTGATTTAATAGTTTAAATCCTAGCAAGCTAGCAAACGAGTTCAATTTAAATATATTAAATTTAATTCTGGCGAAACATTTATATTTGTGTAATAATTAGTACAAATCTTTTGGCTGTTATTGTGGCATATAAAATTCACAAATTACTAAATTCAAATATGAATTACAATTTTTAGAGATACTATTCCAAATATTAGCACTAATTGTTTGGTATCTTAAAATAGGTTAATTGGAAACAAAATATCATAAATATACGGACCAATTAATCATCAGCATTCATATTTGATACTTTATTATTCCACTGCAAAAACAGTATTATCAATAAAAAAATAAATAAAAAAATAAAAAATGACCCAAGTCTAAGATATTCAAATTATTCCTTTTATTTCACGCGTTTCTCTATATATACCAAAAATAAGTAGAATTTTAATTGTAACGTACAATTAATTTCACTATTTTCCCCAATATATATATATATGAACGTCACTC